GCTCTCCGTGCTTGAAAGTGAAAGCTTCCATGTTGTGCAATGTCTTCCTCTTGCCTGACAGAAATTATGGTCTGTTTAGCCTAGCCCACATGGTTAGCACTCTCAGCTCATCATTCCCCAGCATTTGAAACACTGGGCTTCTGGGCAGCTGGCCCATTATGTTATTCCAAAAAAGTCAGTAGTAGAAACACGGGCAATGTTTTGCCTTCTTAAGCTCCTTGGACACCAGAACAGACACTAAGTCTCAGGCTGAACTGTGGAGAGTGACACACAACAGTAAGCTGCCTTGAATCTCCAGTTTGGCTCAACAGGGGGTGGACATTTCTGCTGAGCTCCCGGCTCTCACCAATGCCTGGGCTCACTTCTGCAAACTAATTAACTCCAGGACAGCATGGTCAAGACTGCATGAAGTGCGACTCCTTCCATCCTACACAATCTTCCAGTGCTATCCCAGCAGGTTTTACAACCTCAGACATGCTGTACACATATGTGGCTCCATGTTCCAAAGCCACCACTCTGGCAATCTGCAATACAGGTTATACATTTGCTTCAAACATCTTGAACTGGGCAAAAACACATGAAAAGAATTATTTTCCATTGAACTTCATAGGCACCCCACAGAATGAAACAAGTCACAGGGACAAGAGCTATGTAACATGGATGTCTGTGCTTACCACTTGTCCTCAGCGCTGAGAAATATCTCCTGTCTCTCTTCTATTTAGCAGTGTAGCCATAGGGTCTAAGTAACCTTCTCCAGCCCTATCACAGCTAAAGATGTAATAAGATAATCCTATTATTCTTAATATAGGTCAAGCTTAGGAAGTAATTGTAAAATTCAGCCATCTTCCATAGGTACATTTTCAGACTCTTTGAAGGATAAGGATCAGCATTTCTCAAGAATAATTTCATTTTGGTTTAGATCCATATCCTGCATCAATAAATACATTCTAGGCCAAAGAACATATGTATAGAGGTGTGGTTCTTATTTCTTCCAATTTCTTCTATATTTGAGGATATTGCAGGTTACTTTTTTCTTTTTTGATCAAGAAAAAGTGTAATGTGGCATGCATATGGCTATGATATAGATGCTGTATTTGGAATTGCCATAAAGATCAAATTTACTAGGCATTTCAAGAGCTCCTCATCTGAAATAATAAATCAAACATCATGGGCCCAACAGTGTTCTCTTTATACTGTAGCAGCCAGAGTGAAATTAATTCATAAAAGTAGAGCCAGAAGGATTTGGCCAAATGCCTATTTACCTTAAGGAAGAGTTATAAAGAAAAAAATAATGACGCTTGGGAAGATGTCAGATTGATAGCATGAAATACCCATAACCAATAGTAAAAATCTACTCAGTTAAATGGATGCCATCTGTGTATTCTGGCATTTGGTAACATAAACAGCTTTTGATATATTTGGACTCAGAGGCAAAACTAGAACCAGTAAAGCTTCCAGAAATCATAAAAGAGAATAAAAGAGTATGAATTCACATGTTTCAGCAACTCATATTTCACACTTGTAACTCAAACTTTGTTCCATGACTTTATGACAGAAACAAGAAGAGGAACTACTGTTACAGCAGCCAGAAAATGTCTTTGTCATTGACAAGGATTAAGGAAAGAAACAGGAGAAGATGGCTACGGAGGCTCAGTGCCAGAATATAGCCCAATAGACAGCCATGATACAGATCCAGCCTGCTATGGTCTTGCCTGCGTCTGGGTCATCTGTACTACAACTGGACAGTAGCATTGTAACATAAAAATAATTTCTTTCATTATAGTTGCTTGCATTTGAAAAGTAAGCTTCTAGTAACTTGATTCACCTGTGAACCAAATATAAATTAATCAGATCTATATTATGGGAACTCTAGTCTAAGATACGCCCACTTAAATCTCTGAGCTTACCTTACTGAAGTAGGTTAAACTGACTTTCCTTAAGTCTTTTATATAATTACTTTTGCTAAATGGTGACATGGAAAAACTCAGTTCTGAGGCAGATTTGTTTGGGAATAAAAAAACAACCAACAACCCTCCATTGGAATGGATTATCATTTCAAGATCATATTGGAAGATTATAATTTTTACAACCTTAGCTAAAGTGAAATGCTATTCTAAACACAGCCCAAGTGCAACTGGTTTTCAGAGGAACGCTCATAACTATTTATAGAAATCTAGCAACAATATGTAATAATTTTATATTTGGCAGAGAGCCAAGGAAATGCCATCAGTGTTTGAAATTGCTGCAGTAATATGCCAATTGCCTATCCCAACTGAATGTGATCCAGAACACTGAAGTTAATGTAGCTGCTCTGGATGGAAAAAAAAAAAAAAAAAAAAAAAAAAAAAAAAAAGCTCTGAAATAAAGAGAAGTAAGGAATTTGGAATTCCTTACTCTCTAGCTGTCTGCTCTCCAAGAGCTCTGTACCTTTTCTCAAATGCACACAGGAGACCTGAAAACTGGCGGTGCCTGTAACATGTCTGCATCACTAGGCACTTCTCTCCTTTGGGCTGGTAGGGGTTTGGTGGTGATAGATGGTGGCAGAGCCAGTCACAGTCAAGAGCGAGCTGCAGAGCAATGGAGGTCGGGTTGCATAAAACGATGAAAGCAGAAGCAGATCTGTTTCAGATAGGTATCTAGACATAGATGGGATGTATTACACTCACAGGTGCTTTTTAAAACCACAAATTAGTTGAAAGCACCAGAGAAAACTTTTTTTTTTTTTTTTAAATACAATGTTCGTTTTCAGTGTTTTCGGAGGAAAAGAGAAATTACTAGATCCGTGGAGGAAATTAGGCACTAGAGTGCTGTGTTTTCTGCTGAATACCTAACATAAAATGCTTTAACGTCCATGGCAAATGAACTGGGATCCAGGCTGCTATTATACTGTATAATTGCCAAGGAAGCAACTGGCTTCAGTTTCTGAGAACTGAGTGCAAGTTGCAGCATCACGAATGACGCATCCAAAGAGCCCGCAATGAAAGCCTGATTTATGGCAACTCAGTGTTAATGGCAAAAATCATCTTCCTGCTTTGCACTGAGCTAGGCTGGAAAGTCCTAAGCAAGATGGAATATCTGTCCAAAAGTCTGCAAGTATCAGATATTTTAGGAAGTAAATTATGAAAAGGATTTTACAAGGTATTTTGTGAAAATATTGACTGCCCTAAAACTCTTAAAACCCCCGATGTTGTGTACCCATGCTGAATAAACCACACAGTAATTTATGAACTTAGCACTGAAGTTGTAAATGTTCGTATTGACATTACATCATATATGATAATGAAACATTAATCTTGGGCAAAACAGTCCTTCAGAGCTGTAAGCCTTGGAGCCTTGGTCCTGCACGTTTTTTGGTTTGTTTTTGGTTTTTTTTTTTTTTGTTGTTGAATTTTCTAATAAGTAACAAAGGCAGAGGGACAGACATCATAATTTCCCTTCTGCCAGCTGAAAGGATTTTACGAGGACATTGAAAATATGAAACGCTTTGTTGAATAGTTGGCACTAATGTCTTTTTTAGGAGCATAGAGAGAGTATGGCAGTTTGTTTTCATGGTGTCTGGAGAACTTTCATCAAAGAGGGACTCCATAAACAACTGCCATGCAGAGGATTTAGTATGTACAATGCTATTTAAGCAGTTGATTTAAATGTGAGGTAGTACTCTACATATTCAAAAAGGTTATTTTCTTTCCTATCGTCTGGTTTCCAAAAAGGGCCTTTGTCAAAATGTAGTTTATAACATATCATACAACATATTTTACTAGAATAGCTGAGATGAGTTGTTCTTCAGCTAAAAATTAAAGGGCCCCCACCACTACCATCATAAATGCTGTGTTACCTTTGAGGTTTGGCAGGCTTTTAAGGTCACCTCTCTTTAAATTTGAAAATGCTTGCTCACATTCAAGTCTTCCTGCCAGGAGGACTCAATTCATTAACTTGCATTTATATGGATGGCTATTTTACTGTTTCTTTAACTGAACTTTTATGCTGGCTGCCTGCTGTGTCCCGAGTGTTGCGAGCATTTCAGAAAGTAGGTGCATGCTGTGAAGGCAGCCCATTCTGTAAATAATGTTCCAATTAATAAGACAATTATGCAGCACTGCAGCACTTTATTGGTGTTCTCTGTTACTGCAGTGTTGGTCAGAGCACGATAGTTAAGATAGCATCAACATTTTCATGTAAGCCTTTCTCTCCAGAAGCTTAGACTTAGAAATTAATACCACTCCGAAAATTCAACATAACAAAGAAGCAGAAAGGCATGCATTTTCCAGTGGTTTTATATAAAATTGTTTATAGATTATATGAGTAAAATTAAAATAAGGAGATTTGGTTTAGAGTCTTTTTATATGAAATGCTTTATACTTTATTGGTTATAAGAGTAAAAACAGAATGGAAATGTATCTTCAGTTATACTTTTAAATGTTTACTTTAACTCTCCAAAGGCATTTTAAACTGAAATTTTGCAGTTCATTAGTCTGTTATATGAACGGGTCCTGGAACAACTGTAGATTGAAATTTCCAAGGTCCAGACACAAGACCTGCGTAGTAGAATTTAGTTGCCCAGCACAAAGATCCTGCAACCTCCTGCTGAGCTACTGTGTCACTCTGTGGATGCCTGTGGTCTACAACCACTTTTCTCTTCCAGTCTGAAGTTCTCCAAATGCCTCAGTTTGTGTTTCTGTGCACAGAAAGCATTTCTGTCTAAACCACTTGGTACCTATGTCATGTCTCAGCCCAAAAGGGATGCAAGAAGTAGTGGCTCTTATTCCCTCTGGGCCCTGACACTGTAAGGGAGCCTGAGACTATTGCTTCCTGGGTAATGATGCCCTGAAAGGCTACCAAAATCCCCCTACTGCTTTCTTTTAAAATATGTGAGAGGAAGATTTTGTCTTTTTCCCATATGACGGCTTTCTTATCAAATAGTCAGAGAACTAATGAAAGAAGAAGGATGTCCAGGGTCTAGTCAAGGAATAAATGAAAAAAACAAAGCAGAAAGAACAGACCTTACAGCCCAGTGGCGAGAGCATGCATGGTAGGCAACAGTCCTGGGTTCTCTGCATGACATACAGATACAGTCTTCCATCAGGTTCACCTGTGAGTACATTGATATATACACATATATAATCAGTGCAAATGTTATGAGAATCCTATAAAGTATTTTTCAGATGTAATCATAAAAATTGCTACTTTAAATAATACCAGTATCATTTTTCCATGCCTCTGTTGCAGTTCATCCAGACACGATCATCTTAATTCCATAAAATGTAGAATGTCTCTTTTGTATATTTGTGCAAATTCCAGCACATTGGAGTTCTAATACTCAGTTGGGATCCTTCAGCTCTGTGATAACATTTAATAAGTATCAGGTTTGCCTGTATTGTGCACACATGTGGTTATGCATTTTTCAGATTATCAATTTGGACATCCTGCTCCTTTCTGTCTTTATCAGCTCTCACAGTATTGTTGCGGGCTATTTACTGTGACTTAGATTTTACAGTATAAAATACAGAATACAAACTTCAGAGGCTTTCCTAGTCTATTTATTTGATGTAAAATCCACTGGAGAAATACCTGTCCTCAGCACCACTTACCTGACAGGGTGAAGCGGTACTTTAAACTGACCATCAGCTAAACCACATGAATTTGCACTATTGTTGTCAAAGGTAAGGGTAAAAAGGGTAAAAAAATAGCTGTTCATGTGCCTGCATTCCCTTTTCAGGAGCCCTCCAAGGTCAGCTACTAAAACCAAGCTGTGACCTTTCTTCCAACTTCATTTGGTCTCAGATGAGGTGCCTGTGGTGAGGGATCCACACCTGAGCTGGGTATCTCATCTCCCATTATACCCAAAACTGACCTCATCAGTTAGCAAAGTCACTGGTGTTTTAAGATGAAGCAGAATCGCTCACTGTAGGATGAAGTGACTGCAGCCTATACACTACTGACTGTATCATCCAGCTTTCCATCCCTCGTGAAGACAACCTGGATTGTTTGTTCAGCCATACTGAGGTGAAGCCGCTCATGATTAGCATTCCTGCTGACTGCAGAGCATGGGCAAACTGGAAAGCCACCTTGTCATGTCTATATTTATGCAGTTTTTTTACACTAGGTCAGTACAGTGAAATCTTGAGGAGAAAAAGAGAGCTCTACATTTATTCCAGATATGAGAAACCAGGAAAGTGGAAGAACTATCAAATCTAGCTAAGCTACTGACAACTCTTATGGGGCTGTATGGCAAAGTCAGGTCCAAAAAAGTGCAAACCTTCCCTGGGTTGCAGAGAAAGTTTTTCCAGTCAGCCACTGTCAATGTTGCTGAAGCTCATCATGTTTCAGTACCTGGATGCCCAGCTCAGGATATCCATGCTACAACACACGTGGACTGCGTTACACTTACCTGCAACTTCATACCAGTAGTTTAGTCTGAACAGGGTATTTACATCACTCATGTTTCAGAGACACTAGCACATGAACATGGCACAGGATGGATAAGAATATACGCAAAAGTAGAAGCCATTTTCATTGTCTGGGCAGAAGACCAATGCTAAGCATGACATGGCTGAGCTGCTTGCAGGGGGTTTCACCTCCTCCATTTTGTCCCTTAGATCTGGCAGGGCTGTTGTCAGTTCAGTGCGGAGGCCTCGAGCCTCGAGTAGCACTTACATCCTTGGTCACTTTTATCAGGCTGGCTCAGGTGCAAAATAATGTCACATTTGAGAAGACAAATTGTCTTAGTTAAAACATTAGTTTGTGAGGCTACATATGAAGGTCTGTCAATGAACAGTGGGAATCACTGGTGTGAGACTGAGTAAATATGGGCCATATACAGGTTGTTGTTAGTGAGTTTAGTCTACTCACGCCTGCAAAATACAAACAAGGTTTTCATTAGGCTTTCTGGGGGTGCAGACGGTCCCTCTGTTGGGTGCCCAACATGGTGCAAAGGAGGTGCACTGGTGTCAGTAGGGCCTGAGCCAGAGGAAAGGCAATTGTGGGGAGGAGAAAGAGGAAGCACGATGCAGCAGGAGACACAAATAGACCTCGGTAACATGATCTTTCTCCACTGGAAACATTTTTCCTCCTAACACGTTGCCTCTTCTCACTGCTGTTGGTGCAAAGGTAGGAAATGAAAGCTTCTGGAGGAAGCCAGGTTTCCCCTTCATGGGGCTTGTCAGAAGGTGTTGAGACACCTGGTGGGACAATTTCCACGCATGTATGGCCATGGGGAAGAGTGAGATGGGGAGGCAGGTGTAGCCAGGAGCCAGGCTATCCTGCAGGCCTTTGGGAGAAACGAAAGCCCTTGTTCTAGAACTTAGGTGAAAAAAAGTTGTGAAGGTTGGGGAAGGAGGGATGAGTGAGCCAGCTTCCACCACTGACCTCTTCTCCACCAGGAACCAGTGGGGAGTAACGACGGCTCTGTCCTTGTCACACCAAAACCCCCACTGTCCTGCAGACAGGGCACTAATGACTAACAAGGTTTATCCCGGGCAGCCCGGGCTCAAACACTATTTTGAGTGCCAACCATCACATCATGCAGTAAGTTTACAGAGAAGTGTCACACACAGATCCCAATGCCTGTTATGGAGATTGATGTGGCTGGAAGTGGTGAGCAGAATGGCTATTTTTGTACTGTTACTGTTACCCAGCTGAACAGCTGGTGCTGTGCTTTGACAGCCACTGAGGAAAGTACAGCATGGCTTAAGAGCAAGAGAGCAGTGCACAAAATAAATGCTTCATGGAGTACTGTGATGCCCTGATCAGGTTGTCAAGATCCTTGAATTTCTTTTGGTAGTGTGTAAGAGAAGCAATAGAAGCAGGAGAAATAGTAAGAGAATCAAGACTTTTATGTCTACTTTATAAAAATATATGTATGTATTTTAAATACCTTATTGTTAGGTTTCTCCAGGCACCTTGTTTTGGGTTTGTCTGTGACATTACTTTTTCATCTCAGTGTTATAGTATTATTCTGGAAGCACTTACTATGAAATCTATACATTCATACAAGCTTTATTAAGGAAATGGCAGTTTTCTGATGAGATTTGTGGAGACAGACTGTTATAGTAGGTCACTTGTGTGATTACTCTCCAGTGCTTTCCTTTACACAGTAAGCCAAAGACTTTGCCAAGAAAGCAGGCCGAAATGAGGGTGAACACTGATTACAACGAAGTTATTTATAACAACCATAAAATTAAGTCTTATCAAGTGACAGCATTATCCCGTGGTAATAGACAAATGCTTTGTTCAAAAAAGCTAATTTGTATATTAAAAAAATCAGGCTGACAGCTGAAGCATGATGGTTGATATGTGCAAGACGACTTGCTTTCCAAGGTTTAGTGCATTTATTGCAGCTCTGAAGGCTCAGATAAACTGTTTACATGCCTAACCAGTGACCCAAAATGTAAGATGTTCGCAAACCTCATCATGTTTTCAGCAGCTCCATTTCAGGCTGTTGAAAACCATTAGCAATGCACCACAATAACTGGTTAAAAGAAGAACATGCTATTCAAACAAATCTCCATTAAACTGTCATCTTTACTTCTATAAGTCTTCTATTGCAATTATGGGGATTTGTGTGTTTTTTCTCCATCTCTCCAACAGCAAGAGGCAGACAGAGACTGTCTAAATGGACTTTTTCACACTTTGGAGTGTACACAAATTGAACACTGTGCACAGAACATGAAAACAACACATAGCAGTGCCACTTGTGTTTGCAGTTAAGTGATGCAGAGTCATAAAGGAAGTTCAGCTACAGCTCCTGCAAATATCAGTGATAACTTATGTCTGTTTCTTGCTCACAGGCAAATAACCTTCACCTGGGCCAAATAAACTGCAGTGATTCTGACCTGTGCATTAACAGCAAATAAATGTCGAGGTGGAAGAGTAGGAAGTTTATTAGATTGAGATACAAATAACCAATGGCATCATAATGAAGCTTTTAGTATTTAAACCATAAATGAAAACAAAATGACAGAAAAATGCTGAGCAGGCTGTCAGAGGAGTATTTTTTAAAGGCCAGGGAAAGACCCCTCCCCTGCCTCTCCTGTGGCGTTGGCCTCCCTGGGGTCCCCATTACCTCTTCTCCACAGGACGAGGAGGAAAGCGCTAGGGCTTCCCCACTGAAAAATCAGCCAGGCCCCACAGGAGGTATGATCAGGGTGGTGGGGGGCAGCCAGGCTGTGCTGCCAGGAGGTGAAGCAGAGTTTGGCTGGTGAGAGAGAGAGGAAACCCAATCCTTCTCCCAGATGCCCAGCAAAGAAACAAGGGGTGACAGGGTCACTAGTGGCAGCGAGGAAAATGCCAGCGGTATGTAAAGAAACAAAATCTTCCCCATGAAGGTGGTTAAGCGTTGAAGCCGTTTGCCCAGAAAGCTGGTGGATCCTTGGAGATTTCCAAAATTAGGATGGTGTTTGTTATTCTAGTTTTCTGTACAGAGTGAGGGACACCGGCAGCACCACGGTCTTTTGCTCTGCACTTGCATATAACCGCATTAGTATAGAGATGTTGTTTAAAAATACTGTGCTCTGTAGCTGCATGACTCTGGTAAATATTTCTGGTGTCAAAGTGGCCTTAGCCACCCATGCCTCCGCAGTGCCTACTGACGAATTAGACTGTGAAGGTCAGAATACCCTATAAACTGTATAGTATCCGCGATGCCTTTTAGCTCCTGCCAAGTCACTTGCTCGTGACTGCAGGGAGAAACAAATGCATGCCCTTGGCAGCCATGCGGCTTTCACTATGCTACAGTATTTAATCACATGCTAGGTGTAGCATCGGATACAGCAAGCTTTTCTTCCCCCACTCTGCTGTTTTGGTAGCTCTTTTGCAGTTCTCTTCCCAGTCTTAACACTTATTTCAATGGTCTTCTTACTTCAGGAAGTCTTCAGCATAGCACTAACTCTACCTTTTTATTTTCCTTTGTGAAACTTCAACTCAGTTTTTAACAGATAAATTATTAGTGTCATACTAGCAGCTCTAAGTTACCTTTTTAGAATTTCCTTTTGACAGAAGCAAAAAATCTACATGGCATCAGGACAGTTTTCCAGCATAACCCTGTGAAAAAATCTTCAGTGCTTTCCATGTAGGCTCAAGTTTGATGAACAAGGTTAGTAATTAAAAAGCATGTGATAATATCTTTTTGTAAAACACTCTTTTTACCTTGAAACTACTGCAGTATAAGCAGTCCACTGAAAAGTATTTTAAATCATGATACATAAAGTTCACACAGTGTTAAGAAAGGCATTAAACTATAATGTCGGGAATGTTGGTTGCCATTCAAGGGTATGGAGATTGTCAACAATTTAATCAGTGATTTGAAAGCACTGATTGAAAATATCCAGTTGTCAGCATTAAAAGATCATATCCTCCTTAAAAGTCCAAATGACCAGAGTGTTCCAACTCTATTAATTCCACTCTAGCTGCACTTTTGCAACATTTTCTTTACTTTCGTAACATTTTCCTGACTTCCAGTGAAAATTCCAGTCTTGGTCCCTGCTGAAAGGTAACTTGTTTCTGAAGTTTAAGCAGAAATGTTAGACAAGCTTTGATCAGGGAAAATACTGGAGAAAAAACCTCTTCTGGCATAAATATATACATATATACACATATATTTTATATGCACACTTTATTTATTTTTCTATTTAGGCAAAGTGGCTTGGGAAAGATACTGGAATTTGGCCAGAATATAGCCAAAACAAGGGCCTTTTGGCACTCTGGTGTATATTGTCTTTCTTCATAGTGATGATCCCTTAAAAAAAAAGTGGTTTTTTTTTTCAGTCAATACATATATTTCTTTGTACAGCCATGCATTGAATCTAAGGCCCCAGCACGTATGTGTATGCGGCTTACTGTATAGCTTACTTCCCCTTCAGCTGTCATGCACTCAGCAAGGTACAGAACAGACTTTTGTAGATGACAGCAGGCAAGGCAAGGCTGATTGCAAACATAGGAATAAGCTCTCTCATTTATATCAGTAGGACCACAAACAGTTGCTAAGAGAGAGTAAAAAAAAGCCCTTTCCAGCAGTTATTTTAATGTCCATATTTACTGTTTGGGGAGTTTTCCTTTGAGCTCCTA